GTGTGTGTGTGTGTGTGTATGAACAACTGATGGTACAGACCGTCTAAAGTACAGCACCATTTTTTCATATTCTTCTTGCACATGACAAAAAGAGAAACAAAAAAGGTAAATATGAAACCACCAAGAGGAAACAGCTGGGTTAAAATAACCAGCAAAAATCCCCCTACAGTTCCCTGAGTACTCAGTATAAGCTACTACCTAAAGAAAAATTTCAGGTAAATAATTGTGTTATTTGATAGTAATAATATAAGCCGAAGACAGGGCAATTAAAATCTAAGCTAATCTAAGTCCAATTAAAGAAAAAGTCCTCAAATTAAGGTCCAGAAGTATTATTGTTTTATAATATTTTCAGTTATTACAAAGTAACACATAATTCAATATAATATATTTTGAGGTAGCCTAATAGTTGTATCAGTGTCTGTATGTAGTCAAACAACAGGCTCTCAAATAAAAGAAAAAACATTCAGTTAAATAATACTTTGAACTATGCTTATTATTTCACCATGAACTCGAGAATTCTCTAATAATAGAATAATAATAAAATTGAACAATGTTCTTTTACATTCAAAACTAAAATAAATGAGCTTTTGTCATAAAAAAAAAGGGGAACGAGAAGTTTCTTTATCTTCTTTATCCTCAGTCACATCAAGAATTATTAAGAACAGCTTTTCTCTCTCTGTTGCTTTTACTTTTGTCTTTGGACTTCTGCGTTTCATCTCCTCTCAGACTTCTCTGTTTGCACACACGCGCGTTTTCGCAGGGTTGCACTGAAGAAACTAAATGATTGGCTGAGTAGCTTCATGTGTGACGAGTTACAATGCACGTGATTGGTCTGTATGTTTCCTACGTGCATACATGTAGTACTACAAACTGTACTGTAAATATACAAGAAAACTTGTAAAACTGTTTCTCTACAGGTTCTAGGGCCTAGGAAATTATATGCTGCTCATGGCAGTAGAAGATAAACCTTCACCCATAAATTCCCAGTTTAACACAGTGTAGTAAAAATACTAAATAGACAAGATAGTGCTGGCTCATCCTTTTTATCTGTCTTTCTTCTCCTTATTCTTTATCTCTTCTATCTATCAGTGTGGGTGTTTGTGAGACACCGACACTTGTGATTCAGTCCGTCACACGACTTTTTTTTGGCCTTACCTGTTTTCGCTGTTTCCAGATTCCTGGATCTCCTGATGGGCATTACTAATAAAAAGAGTTTTATCTGTGGAGAGAAATTTTCTGGATTTGGAAAAATTGTTAGTAATACAAAGTTTTTGCTGATTTTCACATTAGGTGTGAACTTGACCAGATTTAAACAAAAATTAAATCAGGTGGAACTGTTATTGGTATTAAAGAAAAAAACTGAAAATAATGCCTTAAAAACTGTGGATGCTAGACTGCTAACAGACAGACAGAACTGATTACAAACTCCATTCCCAGGGGAGATTAACCAAACCAAAGCAACTATTTTACTGACTGAAACTCTGAAACATCTATACATGTGTAATGATGAGTTACTTTGCTTTTTAAAATCTTTTTTCTTTTTAGTTTTTACTGGCTAGCTATTACCATATTTTTTCAGTTACTTTAAATGATTAGAGAATTCACGTTCTGGGACTTGAGTCAACCCCAAAATGCCAATATCCTTAAAGTGTAACAAAAGGTGGCATAGCAGAAGGAAAAAAAGCGTGAAAGCTCATGCCTCTGAGGGGCAAAAAAGTACATGGTATCATTTTGCAGTGGTTGCTATGCGGGCAGATGCACGAAACCCGCCCACCTCTGGTGCACTCATATGGACCCTGCTACTCAAATTTTAATAGACTAATTATACTGAAATCTTCCCACACTTCAAAAGTGCTGAAATGTGGGGAAAGCCCAAATAAGGGTTCCCCCGCACCACAATTAACATAGTACATGAGGTTTTTTTTTTCATACATAACGTGTGTGTGTTTTGGGGGGGGGTTGAGGCTTACTGTCACCCCAAACTTCCTCTTGTTTAAATATATGACAGTGGTTTTATTAACTTCCTTCATGGTGAAGCTGGAAATGCAAACCATAGTAACACATGGATTACAGAAATAGATTTGTGGACATGGTTAGGCCTATTAACATTTCCCACCTTGTCTTCATGCTTCCCACTTCATTTTGTTTTTTATGAGATCAGTTTTTTCTACCATATGTTTTTTTTAAAAAGCAAAAGTTTTTTTTTTTTGATAAATGTCAGTTTACAGCAATGAATAAGGTGCTCAGTGAAGTCTGACAGTTTTTGCATTTGAAATTTGACTGCACATGCTGAGACATCCCTTCCAGCAGTCTCTAACTTCCTCATTTTATGATGATATCAGTGACTTTCTCTTTGCTGCTATTGTGTGAGTTAGCTTTTCGGCTACAGCCTCGGGTTGCGATGTTTTTAAAGAGTGGAGAAATTGGATTTTTAGAAGCTCCCACCGATTGAATTCAACACTATCTATTTATCTATCACTATCTATATCTATTTGTCAGAAGTACTTTGGATACGATTTGAACAACCATGATGACCTCAGCAACATGCACGGTAAGTAAAAAGTTCTGGTCACTTCTTTCAGTGTAAATCTGATCAGAATCCTTTTGAGGATTTGTTTGTGCACGTGTGACAAAAATATCTACTGTTATTCACACGATTTTCCATAAGTTGTGTGGAATGTCAGGAAATCTTTATACTTAAAAAGAAAAACAAATCGACCTTAAAATCTTTTTGTTTCCTTTAGGTTGGTTCCAGAAACTCTTGAAATCGAGAGGATCTTTATCAAAGCAACACAATAAAGAAGCCACAAAAGGTTCAGTGTCTTCTGTTAGCGGTGCATTAACATCATCCTCATCTACATTACCGTCGTGCTCTTCGTTGTCGCTGTCATCATCACCCGGGGAAACCCCCACAAAACCATGGCAGCTGCCTACTGTTCTCAGTTCTGAGTTGAGATGGAAAAGAAAGTATGACGTATTTGTTTGTCACAGTAGCGCCCAAAGTGACATTGAAGAGGCCACACGCCTGGTCTCCTTCCTCGAGGATTCGCCCCGCAGCCTCAGGTGCTTTCTTTGGCAGAGGGACGCATGTCCAGGAGGTGCAGTTTGCACCGAGTTTTGTCAGGCAGTGGAGAACAGTCACTTACGAGCTCTGCTTATCACTCCTAATTTTGTTCAGGATGATTGGTGTAATTATATGATGCACCAGGTACTGACAGAGGGACCCATGTCCAATAGGATGATTCCTCTGCTTCACAGCCTGTCCCACTCTCAGTACCCTAAGGAGCTGAAGTTCTACTACTACATTGACCTGAGCAGGAACCCCATTCAAGCCTATACGCTTGTCAACAGGACGGTACTCCAGTGTAAGTAATGAGAAGAGAGTGATATGAACACGAGCTGAGATCAGTCATGCCATGTTTAAAACCATATTTGTTTAAATCAGCTAGGAATCACAGACTGATTTAACACATCACAAATAAAAGTGATGTGCTGTGATAAACTCCTCATCCTGATTCTCATACTTAAATGTTTCAGATCATCAAACAAATTTTAATATTAAATAAAGATAATCCAAGTAAATATAAAATACAATTCTTAAGTGATTCTGTCATTTATCAAAGGTACAGCGATGACCTTTTCTAGGTTATTATTTAGAAAAAAATGTTCTCCTCATAAATATATATTGATTAGTGTTTGACTACAGCTTCTAAAAGATTGATGCGTTTTCATAAACTTCAAATGAATTCATTAAAAATGCACAGGAGCGTGCTCCAGTTTGTGGAAGCCTTCATGTTTGTTTTCCCCAACACTTTACTTGTAAATCTTCTTTTATATCCAACTAGCAAAAAAAGAGAAAAGAAATAAAAGGGTCATCTGCATTAATCAGTTCTCTGGGTGAGATAATATCTTTAAAAACATTCCTTTGTTCTTTCTTCAGACCTGGAGGACCTGGTTAAAAAAGAGGTGACTCATAATTTCCAGATGAGTGGCTCTAGCAGTGGATTAGATGGAGCAGACATCTCAAAAGAAGACAAGCTGATGTCCCAGCACAGCCCTGCTGGGACTGCTATTCCACTGGAAGTGATGCGAAAGAGCCATAAACACTTTAGTGACATTTCCTGTGATCATCAGGAGCAGCAATTAAAGAATATGACGCAGGAAGGGAGAAACTTAGCTACTGACTGACCTCCGTTTTAGTGTTCCTTTTATCACAGCGTGCGGTTATTGCTTTTTTAACACTGGATATGTGGCAGAACAATTAAAATGATCAGCATGGGAATTAAATTTTCCTGTCACAGCTTGTGAACTATAGTGTGAGTGGGTAAGATATTTAAATGTAAACATTAAAGGAGTTTGTGTTTGTAGTCTCAGCTTTGTAATGAGAGGAGGTTGTCTTTTCCACTAGGTGGTGTATTCTACTGCAAATTCCGACAATAGAGAGTACCAGTGAGGAAACATGAATGGGTCATATCATGAGGTCTGTGTGTATGTGTGTGGGTTGTGTATGAGAAAGGGAAATACCCACCCATTACAAACTGCTGACAGTGGTATGACATTTGAACTGGGCTTCGAGTAATAACACAGGGAATGTAATTCCTTTTTAGGAAAAAAACCATACTTCTTTCTTCATTTTAAATTAAATATTTCTTTAGACTTATCATCTTTTGCTGTTAGTATTTCTGCCAACCTGCCAACCATTGTTTCTTGTTTGGAATTGCAGTGCATGGGTGTATTTGAACGTGTGTTGTCCAGACTGTAGCTTCCTGACACTTGGACAGTGTCAGACAGCACTAGGTCCGGTCCAACTATAACTAATGAATAAATAGTTGAAACAAAGTGCGATCAAGTTGAAAATTTGTTGTGAACCCCTATCGTCCTTCCAAGGGAGCTTTCACTTCTCCTTGGCAGACTTCACTATTCATTAAGCATAGTAACAAATAACAGGTTTTAGATAGCTGACATTAAGTTTAGTCCACTCATTGTGGAATATAAAGTATTCACAGTATCAAGTGGAGGACAATGTTTGTGATGTTTTTTTTTTGTTTTTTTTTTCCAAAAAGCAGACAGGGTTTATATTCCCTTTACAAGGAATCGTTTGCACTGAAGATGTACTACTGTGTTCTGTTTTTTCTTCAACACTATATCATCCTCACTCTTCTCCAACCTCCTAAACAACAGCAGACATTTAGCGCTGCAAACAGAGATCCCTTATAATCGGCTCTTTCGTGCCAAGCCAACGTTGCAACATAAAAATTGAGACTAATCTCTAAAAGGAGCAGATGTTCTATGAAGCCTTTGTTGTTACCAAATCCTTGAGCATGCGCATGTGTACGCACACACACGCATTCAGATGTAGTTATGTGAATGGCTGTTAACGTCAGACAAAGCACGTGTCACATTTCACATACGTAATGTAAAAAGCAAGCTAAACTAACAAACTCTGGCCCTATAAATGGTCTGATCATGATCGCTAATGAATGCCAGCAAATTGCAGAATGTCAGCTGAATTCTGTTTTCTCATGCTATGCTCTGCTGTGCCGTGTTAGCTAACGTTAAGGCACAGCATTGTTGGACTTGGACATGATTTCTCAATCAATGTGAGAATTTAATCAAGCTGTTTATCAGAGAGGAAGCATATTTTAGCGCTAGCCTAACATTAGGTGCCATAATGTTAGCTCATAACCAGCTGTTGCTGTTTAGCTGCTTCATTGTCAGGATTCCAGATGTCTAATCTTCTGACACTAAGTAATTGTGACAATATTCTGAATACATAAGCATTTTAATGTATCCTTTTGTGTGTAAAAGCCCTGACTTTGGTTCAGGTAATAGCGCTCGAAGTGAGTAGTATATTTATGAGTACAGTATTCTTTTTTTTATTTATTAAGTAAACTAAAATAATGACTGACTGTGCCTTTAAAAACGTTTAAAAGAAAAATGTCCTGTAGCTCAGGAGGCAGAGCAGATCATCTACCAATCGGTTGGTGGTTTGATCCCTGCCTGCTCCTGTCTACATGCCAAATATCTTTGGGCAAGATAATAAACCCAAGTAGCTCTGTGATGCATCCATCGGGGTATGAATGTGTGTAAATGTTAGATAGCAAGCAGTTCTGCATAGAAATAGTGCTTGTATAACTGGCTGTGAATAGGTGAATTAAGCATGTTGTATATAAAGCGTCTTGCTTCAGGACAGTATAAATGTTCTATATAACAATCAGTGTTAGACTAAAATCTGCCAAAATATAAAAGGTTTCCTTTGTTTATAAAGACAAAACATGATTTAATTAGATTGACATGTGACACTGCAGGGCAGTGGTTTATATTGTTGCCTCACAGATATGTGTACCCTGTGTTCTAATCCACTAGACCTATTTTAGGCTCACTAAAATTTGACAGCTTAAAATAGGATCATATTTGCCTGTGTGTTCTTACTGGGAGTGTGCATGGTTTCACTGTGCCTTTGTGAGTTTATAGGTGCAATTGTGAGTGG